GCACCCTCTATGAAACGTCAAGCTACCCCACAGCACCCCCAAAATAAATCTCTGGCGCTGCCACTGAGCCTGACTATTTGTGTTGAGGGGGGCCTGACAGAAAAAGTTTGAGAACCACTGCACGAACCCCACTGTTGTGCAATATGTAGTTATTTAAAACAAAATGACAATGTAATCTTGTTATTACTGGCAGCTACTTTGTCTCGCACTACTTACATGTTCCCCTCTGCTGTACCATTGTAATTGTTTCTGCTCTGGGGTGAATAGAGGGTTTCTGATACTGGTTGTGATTGTGTTTTTGTGACTTGTTCCTGTTCCCCAGGTGTACTACTCCCTGTGGAGGCGTCTGCTGAAGATCTTCTGGTGGCTGGTGGTGGCGTACACCATGCTGGTGCTGATCTCCATCTACACCTACCAGTTTGAAGACTTCCCTGGATACTGGAGAAACTTCACTGGTTTCACAGAGGAACAGTACGTGTCAGGGTCTTTAGGTTTCCTGTCTCTTTCTCAATGTACAATATATATATATATATATATATATATATATATATATATATAAATAAAAGGCGCCGAAACTAAATGCACACCACTGCAACAGAGGGAGATATATATTAATTCCAACAAGTTGAAAGTCTACAAACTAAAGCTTCCTGTCCCCTGTGGTGTTATTGAACAAACGCACCTGCAATAATTATAACTACCCGTTATATGATTTCTCTCTGAATGCAACAAAATTAGGGCCTTAAAACATCAGAATTATTATGAGATATTACAGAATTACATCTATTGATGGTTAGAATATGAAAAATGTAAACGCATAACGCTCATTTGTATATTGACTTATTTACTCCTCGACACTACTGCTGCTTCCATTTCCCCGTGTCTTTTTCAGCTGCAGAAGTGTTCTGCTGTCGTTCATTTATAGTTTGTGATTTTATAGAAAGCAGAACGATTTTTTAAGTATACATGCCCTATAACAGTGACCATCAACTGGCGGCCCGCGGGCCAAATCTGGCACGCCAGACATTCTCATCCGGCACGCGCTGTGGCGCTGACGGAGTGGTTAGTGCGTTCGCCCCCCACTCATTTTTCTTTTACAACGTCTCGTGAGTAATGTGCAGTACCGGAATCCAACAGAGGCAGCAGCTGCGGGACAGTAGCCTGTGTACTGCGTAGCCTTCCCTGCCCTGAAGAAGAAGTGATCCTTCGGTAGCAGTAGCCCCCACTACTCCGGCGACTTGACAGTACATGAGCGTGCTCCACTAGCATCCCCCCCGGTCCACAACTTCAAAATTCAGTGCTATATAAAAATAGCTGGCCCCCAAAAGTGCCTCTAGGAATAATATGGGCCCTTGGACAAATGTAGTTGGTGATCCCTGCCCTATAACATACCACAAAGCAAATGGAGGCTGTCTAAACAGTCATTTAGGACAAAGATAGATACAAACTGAAGTGATAAGTGTATATAATGTTAACCTCCCCCCCTCCTCAGGCTGGCAGCCGTTGGTCTGGAGACCTTCGCTCTCTCAGAGCTCTTCAGCAGTATTCTGATCCCCGGCTTCTTCCTGCTGGCCTGCATCCTGCAGCTGCACTACTTCCACAAGCCCTTCATGAGGATCACCGACATGGAGCACATCACACCCATACACAAGTAACACTCTCTAAAAACTCCTCACACTGCGTCATATCAGCATGTGAATGACTTTTCTTCTTCTGCCAATTACTTCTGTATAAAACTGATAACATGTGTGCGATGCAAATGAGATTTTAAGCAGTATTACATTAGGCGGAGCTAGGGAGTTGAGACCTCAAACATAAGGCGCTTTCACACCGCAGTACTTTTCCCACTTTATTTCCGATATAGTTCCGAAATGTTGCGTTCACACCAAAAAAACCCGGAACAAAAATGTGTTCATGAGAACCTTTTTATCCCTGTTGATTGCAAACTCCCAAAAAGTTTTGTGAAGCCGCCATTTTATTATCCTCGCCTTAGCATTATTAGCATTAGCCCAGCACACAAATGCAGAGAGACTAACTTATGGCAACACAAAAGAAAACATGGGAGCGGAGGAGGTGTCGGCGCTCTGGCGATTTACTCGGAAGGCTTCAGTAGAAGCTGCTGGGAGTCCCAGCAGCTTCTACTGAAGCTAGTCCACAACTCCGGGGACTTGCGGCCGGGGACTCCGGGTGGCAGTATACGCCATGAAGTTGTTTGCGGCCTGCCAGTAAACCCAAAGCAGCAGCAGCAGCAGCAGCAGCAGCAGCAGCAGCAGCAGCAGAAGAAGAAGTGACCTCAGTGTCTTCATTTGCCTAATCCTCCCCCAGGGACTTATTCCGGTGTGAACGCGATCTGTACTTAGTTCATGAGAACTAAAGAGTTCTCATGAACTAAGTTCTCGTAAATCTTTGTGGGAAAAGTACTGCGCCTATAGTCTTTGAAAAAAAAAAAGATTCCAGCTAAAAGAAGCGACAGAATTGTCCTTCTTTATGGCAACATTTACCAAAGCATTGTAAAATGTATTTGGCAGACAGAGGTCATATTATACATATAATCAATTACTTTAGATTTTTGAATTTTTTGAAAATATTTTGATCATAAAAATAGTCGTAATTATTCCAATTAATGTTATCACACACAAAGCATTTGATTTTTGTTAAGAATGAATGTCTAGGAATTTGAATAGCATAGTTGAGTCTTTCAAACGTCATGTTCTCTTTTCATGGCCACTGACAGACTGAATGTGGTCACCATATTCCTGTCACAGCAACAGATGGAGATCTACACTCATACCTCTGCTTTTTATGCTCAAGTTTCCCATCATCATGTGTTCCCTGGGAATTAAAATGTTTAATTTAAAAGCAACTAATGATCGCATGTTCCTCCAGGAAGAAGAGCGTGGAGAGGACTGAGCAAACTGACTTTGAAGAGGAGGAGCTGGTGACAAACATGGAGGAGGAATCTGAAGACGAAGGTGAGAGAAACTCTTCTTACGATGCAACTTTTTGAAACAAATATGTAATTAAATGTACTACAAAGTTTGAACATAAACACTGCCTGAATATCTGAACATAGATTCTATCCATCAGCTCACTGAGTATCTTAAACAATAAAGGATGGCTCCCAAATAATGTGTACTAGTCAAATAAAGCTTTGGAATCAAATAAAACAAGTTATAAATAAAAAAGACAGCTGGTTCTGAAAGCAGTGATTGCTGTCATGGAGTCAGGGTTGATTTGACATTTACAGAAAGAAGTGGAGTGAGTTGTTTCTTTCTTGTGAAATCCTTTTTTTAAATGACTTTTGATGGTGTTTAAATCTGTCATGGACTCCTCCATTGATGTATGTTCCTCCTCTCTCTGTCTCCTCCTCCTCCTCCTCTCTCTGTCTCTGCTCCTCCTCCTCTCTCCCCCTCTCAGTGGAGTTGACCCCCAGTAAGTGGGGTCTGGTGATGGACAGGATACTGGTTCTATCCAGAAGGTTCTCTGACAACCTCACCAAAGTGCAAGTGTTCATCTGGAGGCTCCTGGAGCTCCACATCTTCAAGACGGTGGCCTTCTTCTCTGTGTGGGTGTCCCTGGAGGAGGTAACATCTAAGAGAGAAAGACATTAATAAAACAGTGTAGAAAATCAGATACCTCTTTATCTTCTTAACATGCATACTTTAATCAATGTTTTGTTTCTTCTATATGAGTCATCCAGTCAACATAGCTACAACCTGTGGTGGGAAATGTACTCAGACCTTTCCCTGAGTAAAGCAGCAGTACAAACTTGAAATTCCTGCATTCAAAACCTTACTTAGCTAAAGTACATAAGTATTGGCAACAAAATGTACCTAAAATTCCAGAAGTAAAACAATTGTCTGCTGATTTCTGAATCATGTAGACTCAATTATGAATGTGTTCATCACAGCTGGTAAAGGTGGAGCTGCTGCTTGATATCTTAACCTATAATTATATACCAGTTTATTTATTAGTTGATTTACATTTTGTATTAGCTAATAATCTGAATCTATAATTAGATTTCAGTTAAATGTAGCAGACTGAAAGTAAAAACTGTTGCTTCCAAAATGTGGAATGGAGGTATAAAGTACTTCAACATTTGACTTGAGTATAGCACTTGAGAAAAATGTAAGGGATAACATAATAAGTACAACTCTAATCTTGCCTTTGGATGAGCAACTTGTAAAGGGTGTGAATGAGTTATGAAAGCACTGTATCCGGAACACAGAGCCTCAGAGATGAATGATCTGCACAGATCTATATGTTTTCCATAATAATACAACTTAAGTGTTTGTGTTCTGTTTGTGCAGCCCTCAGTGATGAACCTGGTCCTGGTGGTGCTCTGGTCTCTGGCCATGCCCTTCTCTCGCTTCGGGCCCATGGCCTCCTGTCTGTCCACAGCCTGGGTGTGTGTCATCATCATGTGCAAGATGCTGTACCAGCTCAGTGTGGTCAACCCAGCAGAGTACTCCAGTAACTGCAGCCTGGTGAGTCTCTCTCTCTCTCTCTCCATTCCAATGTATTTGTAATGTTTTTTTTCAATACTTCATGTGTTTTGGTTTCAGACTTACACTGAACAAAAATATAAACGCAACACTTTTGTTTTTGCTCCCATTTTTCATGAGATGAA